TTGCATTAAGACAGCGTGGAGAAACTTATCGCATGATGAATAAATGGGAGGAATCATTAGCAGATTTAAATAAATCACTAGAAATCTATTCAGATGATGCATTTGCATTAAGACAGCGTGGAGCAACTTATCTCATGATGAACAAATACAAAGAATCACTAGCAGATTTAAATAAATCATTGGAAATTGATCCAAATAATGTATTTGGATTACAAGTCAGTGCTACAACTTATTACAAGTTGAACAGATACGAAGAATCACTAATAGATTTAAATAAATTATTAGAAATTGATCCAACTAGTGTATTTGCTTTAGAAACTCGTGAAAAGGTTAATAAATTATTAAATAAATGTTCTAGATTTAAATTTTGGTAATATAACAGTTATTTGCATATTTTATGTATATTTAAATCTAATATATTTATTTTTCGACATTTGAAAACTTGCATGGTTTTCCTTTTGACTTATATTTTGTAATAATCATTATACTCTTGATATAGTCACGAAGTATAAAAATAATTCTATTATTGTTTTATCAACTATTACAAGGCATAAGAAAATGAAACTTTTAGCTAAATGTATAAAAAATCTTTACTCTGATTTCGTCGATTATAATTCTTAACACGTTTTGGTTGTTGGAAATAATAACTTGTGCTATACATATATATACCGTAAAATCTCGAAATAACGCTATTTTGAGATTTTACGATATTTATTTATTTAAACTAGAACCAACTATTGTTCATATTGAACTTTTTTTTTTATTGCCTGTACACGTAATGTATTTATTTGCAAGCTTGTCTTATATTCGACAAGAATGATCTTCGCCATAAATTTTCGTACAGACTAAAAACGCCAAGCATACTAGACACGCAATTAAACGAAAACTTAATTTTGTATGTGTTGACAATGTAGTATCGTTCAGAATACAATTGAAAAAAATACTAATATATGTAATTATTAATATATTACTGTTCAAACTCAAATCAAAAGTTCATTGCTACTGAAATCAAAAACTTATCGAATTGGCAAATAATCATTCGGGCACTTTTTTTTCAGATGTCCCTTAATGTAAATAGCTGTAATTGAACCGGGTGGCATTTCTAAAATTCAACAGGTTAAGGCTCGTAAGGCTTACACGTTGCCTCTAAATAATTAATAACAAGGTTTATTTAATCTAACATAATACAGAAGTCTTGAACAAAAGATTTGCAGTTACCTAATTATACAGCAAAATGGATATGTGGTTGGAATATTTTTTGTTTTCTAAGCAAGCTTTTGAGAGAGTTTAATCATTTTATTATTATCATTTTGCACAGTGAGCGTTCTTGACATGTTACTGAAGATGTTATGTGGTCTGGGACTAAATTGATGGGTCATAGTTAGTCTTAAGACTAACAAAAAATTGTTCTACACCAGTCTTAAGACCAGACCAGTCTGGACTGGTTAATTCTTAAGATTGTTGAATGTTAAAAACAGGACCAGGACTGAAGTTCCACATATCACATTGAGAAATCTAAAATAAACACGAATACATGATTGGCTAAAAATTATTTTCAACCAATCACAAATTTGCATATTTGTATTAAATAAGTTACGCCAAACTATTAAATGATTTGCAAAATTCGAATTTATGTTTTGCTAAATTCATCGTCATTTGTTACAAGTTATCTTAAAAAGCACGGATAGTTATGTTGATGAGGGTAATTTTTTGGTATATTTCCCATCACGTATTTACTCTTGTGTTGTCATGCGACCTTGTGTAAACAAATAAAAGAATAATATAACTAAATTCACCGTTGTTGTGCATTACAGATAATAATAGTTATTGTGCAAACAGACATTTTTATATTCTGTGCAAAAAATTTCTTGTCTAAAGTTTTAATTCTCAGGTGAAGAGTATAAGAAATAGAGTGTAGTTATTTCTTTTATTACAGGTAATTTATTTATTCAAGAATAAAGTATCGTTCCAATCATCATATTTACAAAGAGTCAATAAATTTAGTTCTTTACCTGCCAAATTGTAGTAATATGCAATCATATATGGACGATAAATTAAAACAAGTGAGTTAGTTAAACTATGCATTCAGAAACGATAATCATACAAAAATTTATTTAAAATTTACTTTTAGGTTATTGAAGTCGTTCGCTATATAACTGATAATCCAAATTATATTGTTGAAGGTCGTTGGTTTTGTCAGCATTGGAAATGCAAGCATCGATTACCATGCTTAAACGTAGAAGAATGTAAGAATAATTGTCCACATGAACCACAATGTCAAACTGAAATGCAATGTCTATCCAAATGGACATGTAAACACGAACCAGAATGTAATAAAAGAGTAGGTTGTATGAAAAAATGGATATGTCGACACGATCCTGTATGTCAAAGTAAATGGCATTGTAGAAAAAATTGGAGATGCCAACATCCAATACGGTGCGGAGACTTATGGGAATGTAAGTACAGATGGACTGAAGAATACGAACCACATTGTCAAGGCGAATAGCGATGCCATCATGTTAAGAAATGTCAAACAAGATTTGAATGTCAAAAAAGGCCATCTCGTGAGAAATGGAAATGTCCGCACAATCCCGAATGTTATAACAAATGGAAATGTCAAAACAAATGGCAGTGTCAACACAAGGAGAAATGTGACATGTCGAATCCTAATCTGAACGAATGCCAAAATAAATGTCAACACAGATGTAAAACAGAAAAAAAATGTAAAGAAAAATCGCAAGCATTGTTTCAACAGCTTGAGCGCCAGTATAAAGACGAATGGAAATATCGACACCAGTGTGAAGATTCAAGAGAATGTCTAAGAAAATGGGAATGCCCACATGAGTCTGAATTCCCTGGAATTGTACACAATCGTAAATGTAAAGATAGACGGAAATGTAGAACTATAGGGTGGCATTGCCAACATACGCCACCATGCATGAGTACGAAGAGTTGCCAAGAAAAATGGGATGGTGAAAATGAATGGAACTGTAAACATATAACTGAATATGGTGAAGAATGCCAAAGTAATTGGCAGTGTCTAAGTGACCCAAAGCATAGAAACAAATGGCAGTGTCAAAATAAATTAACGTTAAGTTACAGTCAAAGTGAACTTAAAGCATGCTTAGAGAAAGTTCATCAGCCTACCCAGTTAAACGACTTTTTCACTAAGCAGTGTAATGAATGCGGGAAAAAAAGTCTAATTTCAAGTTTTTTGCTTTATACAAAGCCGAAAAAAATCCTCAAGGTAAATCAAACTCAAAATAACTTGTATTTATGAACTGCAAAAAAAATCTAAACATTACTAAAATTATCCTGCAGTGTGAAATAATTTGTCACTTAGTATGGGCCAAAGCTCGGGGAGATGTGTTTTACAGAGTATTTGGTAGGTGGAACTGCAATGTAAATGAAGATCATATTTGGGACAGCTCCTATACTTGGGTATCACTTCAAAAGTTCGTAGACAGCTCTCAGACTGGCTATCAAGCACATAACTTTATGACAAACATCCGGTGGGGTAATATTCGAAAATTTCGGGCAGATACCAAGAGGTATAATTTTCAGAATGCTCAGACTGGCCTCCAGAAACATGATTATGTTATGATTAAATGCCATCTATGCTGGAAAAGCGCATCAATTCTATGTTGGAAACGTATAGTAGGATCAAGGGATGCACCTCTTCACGACAGGGAGCTATGTGAAAAGTGTAGAAGTGGTAATGTTTGTGTTCAAAAGAACTCTTACTTTGGTTGACAATAGTAACATAATGGATAGTCACAATTTACAAGCTTTTGCCCTAATATAGTAATTTAAAATTTTCATCTTATCGTTATCACTTAACATCAGTTGAATAATTGTTTAACATTATCTTCCCCCCTCGAGCCTGAGCTCGAAACGTTGACGTTAAACAACTAATCAACTTTGAACGGTCTTATATTTAACATTATATTTTACATTATACATACTTGAGAATTTTTTAGCATTATAATTTATTTAATATAAAGGTCGGAACCGGTTGCTATGATTGGCCTTAAATAAAATCGTGTTAAATCATTTAAATAATAAACTAGCTTTATAATATTTTAATTCGATTTTATAATGTATATGTTGTAAGTGGAAATGAATTCCCACTTAACGACATAGATAGGAAAAGAGTGCGAACTTGATCTTTTTCATTTTAACTAGTTAAAATTCTTGCTGATCAACCAACAAAATTTGAACGGGGGTTAAATCGCCACCCAAAAAAGTTACAGATCATGTGATTTACATCATTTTTATATCATACAAATTATTATACGATTTCGATTCGTATTATTAATATTGTAATACAGTAAAAAAAATACTTTAGTATTTACCTTTTTAGTTAATAAGAATTATTGTTATGGAAGAGTGCAGTCGTTGTTATGTTAAAAAACCAATTGAAGCCTTTAAAGGTACAAAAAATAAAGGCACAAACGTAAATGGGTTAAAAAAAACATGTTTTGAGTGTAGAACTAAAATTTCTTCAGCAGCAAAAATTAAACGTAACCAAAAAAGGGAAGAGATTCAAGTTCAAAATTGGAAGCTGCAATAGCATCCGAAATACTTGTAGACTATATGCTTGAAGCACTTCCAACTGAATATAGTTCAGATAATTACCTGTTTGAAAAAAAGTTTTTCGTCGCATTGGATCCATTATTGAATATTATTAATACAAACTCAGAAGAACAAGATAAAGAAATCACACAATGTTTAATTAATCGAATCTCAAAGGCAGATCTTTTTTTTTGGATCTACCATAAGCGTAAAGTAACAAAAAGTTCAATTGCATATGTTTACTATTGTAATAGTCGAGAAGAATTAAAAAATAAAAAGCCTTAAGTTGATAATATTTCAAATCAATGTGATACAGCAATCAGAATTCATCGTTATGATTGTGGGGGTATGATTCGAATGAACATTGATCGAAAAAATAACCTAATTGTTGTTAACATTTATCATTTTCTTCATTTATCACCTGAAACAATTGAAACTACACTGCAAATTCAAAATTATATTACTAAAAATTATTTGTTAACAGTTCTGCAACTTTATCAAAACATTAAAGAAAAAATTACTGGATATTTGCACCTTACTCAGCATCAGGTTTATTACTGGGCAAAAAAATTGTTACAAAAGAATACAAATTAGATGACAACCAATTAGAATCAGCATGATGATATTTAGAAAATTATTTAAATTTTCAAACTCTTTTTTGTGATGAACATTCAATAGCATTTTTGACACCTTTAATATTCATATTACCCAACAATGCTATGGATACAATCATTGTAGATGCCACATACAGCACAAATAGATTAAAATTTGAATTATATGGAATACTTGAAATTATTGATAGTTCTGGTTTTCCATTATCATATTTTTTTTAGAACCAAAATCCCCTCAAGACAAAACACAAACATTAACAAAATGGCTTTAGTTTTTAAAAAACAATGGCATTCAAAAAGTCAAAACCTTTTTGTCTGATAAAGATCGTAGGCAAATTACAGCTATCAATACAGTTTGGACAGATGCAAAAGTCTAATTATGTTATTGGCACATTTTACAAGTCATTAAAAAAAAACTTGCTAGTACTAGAATCATACATAAACATTATAATGCACATGAAGTGCACTCCTTTTGTTTGGTTATTAATTCTAATTGGCAACCTACTTATTAAAATCAAAACCCTGATCTTCAAGTATATAATAAAAATAAAGTATTTTGTCAAAAGCATTTTCATGAGATTATTATTAAACTTATTCACATTCACTTTTCACAACATCCTAAAATTCTTATAGAAAATACAGGTTTTTTAAGTGCAGAACAAATTTGGATTACTTGTATTAGAAAATTGTTTGAATTTTGCTACAAAAATAATCTTTGCAATATATGGGCTTACTTGTGGCTTAAGTGGTATCAACCTAATATGTGGAAGCTTTGGGCACATGCATCCAGTACACAAATTAATTTATTAAGAAATACTATGGCTATTGAAAGCTATTGGCAAGTTTTAAAGCATGATTTTTTTTCAAACTTTAATTATGCATGATTAGATCTAATTGTTTATACTATTGTCTCAAAAGTTATCCTATGACAGATTGATCGATTGCAATTACTATGTAATGAATGTTGTACAACCAAATGGCGTGAAGAATTTTGAACTGAATGAAAAAAATTAGCTAATCAAATAATTAATAATAATAATTCTAATCATATTACTGACTCTCTTCACTGGATTTGTTCATGTTTAGGTTTTCTTTTAAAATGGTTCTATATTTGCAAACATTTGGTGCAAATGCATAATCATGTTGAACCCATTTTTTTAAAAAGGTAAAACTCTGTTTACTGTTATTTATTATATTATCGTTATTGTCAGTATTGTAAAATATATTTATTTAACTAAGGTTACCCAACAAGAATTCTATCCTCTTTTAAAAGTTAAAAAAGAAAATGTCTTTTTTAATTTACCAAAAAATATATATATTGTAGTCAAAAATCTCACTCCTAAAACCTGCGAATTAATCATTTATAACAAAAACAATAATTGTTAAGAATCTTCAATAAATCATATTCAGAAACAAGAAATTATCAATTTGAATGAAGAGAATGTAGTTGAAATTGATGATAGTGATAAAGATCAAGACCTAACTTTATTTAAATAATGCAAGCATAAAATTTTTGAATTATTTGATTCAGCAAAAAGGATACTTGAAGAAAATGAAACAAACCTGAATGGAAATAAGTGGTTTAATAGTATTGATAAGAACTTCAAGCCAATACGTAAATTTGTTGAAGACTGTAATAGGTTTAAAAAACAAAGACAAATTCCAAATATTTGAAAGGATTGTAATCATAATACATTCTGGTTACAATAATGGTTGTTATCATAAATTAAAGAAAAAAAAGTTTCAAATGTATTGTTTTAATTATAAAACAATAAATAGCAGCCTGTTTCAAAAATGCATATAATTTTTTTTATTCATATGTATTATACAATTTGTAGAAATAAAATTGATTATTACTATAAAGTGCAAACTAATGTATCCGGGTATTTACAATGTCTTAAGCTATACCCAGGATACAAAAGTAGGAAGAGATAAATTGTCAAATAAATAAATAAAAAAATAAATTTTGATATAATACTTGGTATTCTCAAGGTATAGGAGTACATTGTACCCTAATATAAAAAAAATTTTAAGATATCTTATTGTTATAGGGGGATCTACCGTATGGCACTTTACAGTAATAATCACATGATCTGTAACTTTTTTGGGTGGTGATTTAACCCCTGTTCGAAATTTGTGGCTTAACACAAAATTGGCCTAAGTATTAACAATTACATACACCTAAATCCAATTGGATTTAAATTTGCACTATTTCTGTTTTTATATGACAATATGACACTACATACATTTTATAATATTACTTTATTCTAGAATATTTATAGGGAACAGGTATTTCCACACCCTTATAAATTATCATAAATTATAACAATATAATAATGTGCAATTCATTCACTCAAAAATCGAGTAACTATAATATAACTTTGTTAAAGATTCATCAATGATATATTTGTACTATTGTAATGTGTACATAATCAAATAATATGTAAATACTTAATTCGAATATAGAAATATCTGTTTCCTATCTATATTTTATCTTTATTTATTTATTTTTATTTTATTTTTTACTTTAACACTATAAAAATAGTATTCACAAAAAATTTTTTTTTGTACCGAAAAGCTAATTAAAGTTTAGAATATTAACTTTTCATAGCTGAAGAAAATATGGCATAATTTTATTTAAAACAAATGAAAAAAAATAGAAAAAAATACAGTAACTATAAACAGCGAGCTGACAGTTTTGGATGAAAAGAAGTTCTTTATAAAAAATTGCTATATTTTCTTTAGAACACATAGATATTGATCATCCTGAAACTTTAAATTTTAAGTTCATACTGTCTCAAGTTCATTATATAGAGGCTCATTATATCTAGTGGTCATATTATAGCTATAACTATGAGTTGAAATTTGTAAAGTAATTATAAATTTGATTTTGATGTGTCAATTGGTTTAAATAGATTGCAAATAATTTATTTTACTAATAGTATAAAACAATGCCCTCAATATATCTTTACATTAAAAAATGTTCCAAGTCATTTCTAAATCGGTAAAAATTAAAATAACAATTTAATATCATAGAAATATAAATATATATTTCATATATGAAGCTATTTAATATGAAATATATATTTTATACACAAAGCCAATTTAATACTAAGAATTAGATACATAGATATTTAATTATCTTATTTGCAAATTTTCTTTTAAAATTAGTCTTTTAAACATAGAATTGTTCTTGCAGAGTCATCTTCTAGTTTATTTCTTGTAGTTGAAATAGTAAGACCCATTATATAGCTTGTATAATGAAGTAATCTTCTCTTGTGATTAAGCTTAGAATATAGTATTTTAATTATACTTGTTACTATACCAACAGATTTAAATTATCTTTTAATAGTAATATTAATATTTTTAGCTCATTTTATAAACTATCCAATTGTTATTTATAAGTAATATAAAAATAAATAAATTAGAAAGAATGAAAAAAACTGAGATAAAATAAGTAAATGTAATAGAAGAATTGGAAAAAATAGAAAAAATATGTAGAACAGAAAAATAAAAAAATATATAGAAAATAAAAAATATAAAATATATATAAAAAAAAAAGTAGTAGTAAAAATAAAAAATAGTAGAAAAACAGAAGAATAAAAAAACATAAAAAGTAAATGTAAATATAAAAGATAAATTTAAAAAGATAGAATAAATAAAAAAAGTATATATATGTTACTTATCTCTTAAACTGTATTTCAGACAAATTTGGCTAAAAAATTAAATTGTATTTAGTATTTTTTAAATAAAACAATAATTTATTAATGATATAAGGTATACTTTGCTTATGAAA